ATTTACTGTGATTCCTTCTCCTTTTCTTTCATAAGCTGCCTAACAAATTCATCACTTCTTTCACATTGTGAGAGATGCTTGGATTCAAATTATGACAAAAACACTCCCAGGTGTGAAATTTCCTGTGGGTAGTACTAATTTTTTCATAAAATGAAACAGCAAGCATACTGTATTTTAAAAAAGCAAAATCTCTGTATTTTTAATTTTAATTAAAATATTAAATTCTTTTATTTAAATACTAATAGTTCATTAGATTTAAAATTAATAGTGAGGTTTAACAACTTTAAATAATTAAACCCTAAAGAGCCTTAAATCAATGTGAGGAGGAGTACATTCTGGAAACCATAAAAGAAATTTTGTTTTTAATCCCAAAAGAATGATGCTAGAAGCTCACTATGAAAGCCCAGAAAATGGAATTGAAATTTACTGTAAATGTCCAAAGTACTTAGATTCAATAGGAGGTAGAGTGGGTAAACACTGGACTAACAAATATATATCTTAACAATGCAATCTTTTTTTTTGCATTCTTTTTTTGAATGTTTCACAAATGTATAGTTTCTACAGATATCAGAACTGTTTAGTAGAGTATTCTGAGAGGGCACTATATGTACACAGAAAGAAATGAAACTTTTGGAGAAAGCATTATATAACAAATGTGGTTTCTACTTAGTTTTAGAAATAGCACAACATCAGAACCCAAACTCCCCATCTTAAGACAATGAAGTGCTGTTCAGTATTATAGCAAAAGAAAAAATCATGCAATTTGGAAAATATTAACATGTTGGTAATACAGAAGAGAGTCAGAATAAAATCTGATATCATATATCCTTTAAAAACCAACAAATTCAATAAGTAATCTGATATTCTTCATCCTTTAAAAAGCAACAAATTCAAAAAATAACTTTATGGCCAATTCAAAAGTGAACACTAAAATTTTAGAGTGGAGATTCTTGAAAGATTTTTGAAGACTTTGCTGCCCAACTTCCTTCTCTGAAGCTTCTGGGACTGCTGGGTAAGAAGGAAACTGTTGCCCCCAGCTATAAACCCAATGACCCTTATAAGTAACTTGCACTCTTAGCAGCAACATTCCAAATGTCCATTTCCAGCCATTCATCATTTGAAACAGAAAAAAAATCTGAGAATTATCATTTCAGAGGATATAAACCTCTACCAATGATCTTGGCAACTGCAAAAGTGAAAATTCAAAAAAATGTGAGTATAATCTAACAATTCTGACATAACTTAAAGACAGACTATAAAAACAATTATGAATTAGTATAAGAGTAGAGAAAAGAGGCAAAGACCTACTTTCATCTTCACTACTGTTATTAAAACCATGTTATTCATCATCATTCGAGAAATCATGATATTAAAAAATATTTCAAGCTGATTAACAATAAAAGTAATTTAAACAGACATTATACAATCGATGAACAGCGAATAAGCACATGAAGAAGTGTTCAGTATCACGAGTCATCAGGGAAACAGAAACTAAAACAAGATGCTAAAAAAACCAACCTCAGGAGTTGCAATTAAAGGCTGACAACAACAAATGTTGACAAGAATGTGGAGCAACTAGAATTCTCAATCATTGTTGGTGAGAGTACAAATGGTACGGTCTCTTGGGAAAAAGATCTGGCAGTTGCTTATGAAATAAAAGATAAACTTTTCTTAAGTGACAAAGCAATTCTTGTCCTAGATATTGCCCCAAGAAAATGAAAACATGTTAATACAAAAAGACCAGAACAAAAATGTTCATAGTAGGTTTATTCACAATTGTCCAAGCTGGAATCGAGCCAGCCTTCTATCAACAAAGTAAATAATTGTGGCACAGTCATACAGTGCAATACTACTCAGCAATGATAAATAATCATCAATACATGCAACAACACAGATCAAAAAAGATTATATTGAGTGAAAAACTTACATAAATGACACACATGAAATTCTACAACCAGTACTAATCTATGGTGGGGAAAAATCAGATCAGTAGTGCCTCTGCGGAGGAGGCAGATTTATTGCCATGAGGCATGAGGAAACTTTCTGAGGTGATGGTAATATTCTGTTATGAAAAGTTTTGGGGTGCACTGCTCATCCAATAGGAACACCCAATAGGAATACTTAAATGTATGCTCTTCACTGTAGGAAATTTTGCCTCAAAGGAAAAAAATGTAAACAAGCATCAAGCTCTAGTTAATGATTTGCATGGTGAACAATTTGATGCAATTTATTTTGATATGTATATCAAAAGATAATATAGACTGATAGTTTGACATGAGATAATTATTCTACTATGTCCATTGTGGCTGGATATTCACCCACCCACATGCAAAATTCTTCAAAATTTCCTGTGTGTTTAGTATTTTTCCTATAAAACCTAGGGAGCAAAGGTTATGAGTACCTTATAAAGTATGCAAACACAGGTTATACAGGAAATATGTTTTCCCTCCATTTCTGACTATTCTTTCTGTTCTATTCAGAGGCTGGTTACCACTACCTATATCTAATGTGCCTTTCCAGGGGTAGTCTGAATACAGATAGAAGGACAGAGAGAGACACACAGCTATTTCCTGCATATTTCTTTTTTTCTGAAAGTTAACATTGTTATTAACATTTCTTACTGATCAATAAGAGGAAAGAACACATTAAGAAAATAGGACACTGACAAATTATATGCAAAATGAATGAAAATAAAATGAGTAAAATTAACACCTAACTTATGAGAGAAATAGTCACTTTGTTAAGAGCTATATTGTCATAATTGATATACTATACAATTCACACATTTAAAGTGCACATTTTGATGTTTTTTTTAGTATGTTCACAGTCATTCAACCATTACCAAATATGTTCAGCACCTCATACAAGAAACCCAATACCCTTTAGCCATCACCTCCAGTCCCCCTAGCTCTCCACTCCTAGTTAACCATTAATCTCCTTTCTGTCTCTACAGACTTGCCTATTCTCGACATTTCATATAGATGGAATTACACAAAGGCAAGACTTCTTATGACTGGTCTCTTTCACTTAGCATAATGTTTTCAAGGTTCATCCATGTGGTAGCATGCATCAGGACTTCACTTCTTTTTAGGGCAGAATAATGTCCATCGTATGGATAGTCCACATTTTGTATATCCATTCATCAGCTAACATATCTGGATTACTCTCAGTTTGGGGCTATTACGTATGAACAACATTGCTATAAATGTTCATGTACAAATTTTTCCATGTGAACACACGTTTCATTTCTCTGGAGTAGACACCTACGAGTGGAACTGCTGAATGAAATGATGATTCTGTGTTTAACTTTTTAAAGAACTGCCAAACTGCTGTCAGCACTGTTTAACATGCCCCCTAACAGTGTGTGAGGATTCTGATTCCTCTACATCCTTACCAACTTTTGCTATTATCTTTTTTTCATACAGCCATCATAGTGTGTGTGAAGTGGTACCTCATCATGGTTTTGATTTTCATTTCTCTTATGACCAGTGTTATAGAGCATCTTTTCATGTATTTTTTTGTCCATGGATATAACCACTTTGAACAAATGTCCATTCAGATTCTTTGACCATGATTTAATTAAGCTGTCCTTTTATTATTGAGTTACAGGAGTTCTCTATCCTAGATATAAAAAGCCCCTTATCACATACATGATTTACAAATATTTTCTCCCATTCCATGAGCCACCTTTTCACGTTCTGGATAGTGTCCTTTGAAGCACAAAAGTCTACACTTTTATTTAACTATATTTTTTTCTTGGTTGTTTGCACTTTGGGAGTCATATCTGAAACACTATTTCCTATTCCAAAATTTACTACTATGTTTTCTTCTAGGAGTTCTATAATCTTAGATCCTACATGTAGGTCTATAATCCATTTTGAGTTAATTTATGTATTATGGTTTGAGGTAAGGGTCAACTTTATTCTTTTGCATGTGTACATTTAGTTATCCCAGCAGCATTTATTAAAGACTTTTCTTTACCCCATTGAATAGTTTGGGCGCTCCTGTTGAAAATCAGTTGACCATATTTATATACAAATACTTCTAGAGTTTCAATTCTGTGTCTTTTATATATATGTGTGTGTACCTTTTGCCAGTACCATGCTTTTTTGATTACTGTTACTTTATAGAAAGTTTTGATACATTTTTTTTCTTACTATACATTGTTTTCACTGAACATATTCTGGTAAACACTTAAGTTTAATATACATTTGCTATACATAACATAACAATGGAGATCATTTCTTACATACATATTTATACATATGTCAATAGTTTCTGCAAAGTAAATGTGTAGAGATTGATCAAAAGGACTGTGCATTTTAATGTTTGATACACACTGACAATTCACCTTTCCAAAAGGTTATGCTAATTTATCCTCTATCAACAATGTATAAGAAAACCTTAACCTACATCTTCTACAATGCAGTGTATTACCAAACTTTTAAATCATTACTCAATATAATTTTTCTCACTTTTTGAACTTCTCTGTTTGATAAATCCCATTTGACTAATAAATATATGCAAAAAATAAATAAGACCTAATTACTAATAAAACGTTTCTACCAGCAACTCCACTTTTTGGAATTTATCTTAAATAGTTTAAAGAGGAAAACGAGATGTTCAAAGTAGTGTAATTTGTAATATAGAAAAAATATTACACATTAGATGCTGATCAACAGGAAAAGTGTTAATTAAAATACAGTCGAGTCACTAAACAGAGTATATTCAACTATTAAAAACTATAAACATGGAGTCTGTAGTCATATAAAAATATGCTAATTTTTAAAAGCAGGATACAAAATTGTATAATTGTATATATACTCTATACACCTATTGTAACTACTTTAAAATTACACAGGCATATGAAAATGAAAATATATAAATAGCTATGGATAACTTTCTCCTTTAATTTATAAACTTTTTGTCACTTCTTAGAATTAAGTTCATAATTAGGGAATATGTTCATAAATACATTACATTAAAAAAAACATACTTACTGTGATGATGCCAATTAGCTGAGTATAAAAAAGTCCAGTTATTCCAACTAACATAGTGATGCCCATAAAGGCAGCTAGTCTCATTATGGCCAATTCATGCCTAACAACAAAGAGGTCCTATAAGAAGAGAGAAAAAAGACTTAAAACAAATTGAGAAGTTACTTAAAATTTCAAAACAGTCAAGAATTAACCCATTAACATTGCTCCCTTATCTTAAAAAAATACTCTCCCCCTTTTAAGTTTATTCCACTTAATACATAAATATTAGAAAATTTCAAAAATAAGTGTTTTTAATTCATAGTAGCAAGCCAAAAAATAGGATTTTTACTACTCTTGTACCAAAAAGCCTCAATCCTAAAGTTCCAAATTAGCCAAGCTTATTTACTGTTTCCAGAAAAACAAAACAAAACAAAAAAAAAAAACAAAAAGAAAACATACAGTGCACAATCTTTGGTTACACAAAAGGAAATTTTATTATTATACTTCTAGAGAGTTTGAATGTACAAGCCTGACTCAGAGTATTAAGGATCAAGTGATCAAGACACCTAGAGATACGTCACTTAGTCAAAATGAGGGGGAAACATAAATGATAGGATCGTGTGGACCAGCTCTCTTTAAGCCTTCTTCACCCATTCAACTATCCATCTACTCAACCATCACCACCAAGCACTGTGCTATGTAACAGAAAAGTAAGAATGAGAAAGATATGATCTATGCCCTGAAAAAGCTGCAGTTTATTTCAAGAGAGAACCCAATTTTTTGAAACTCAAAACAACATGATATATGCTCTCTAACGGGGATGCATGCAGAGGACTGAAGAAACACCAAGCAAGGAGGAGAAATGTAAATGCTGAGGGAAAGCTGATTTCCTGGCTCAAGGCATAAAAACGAGTCTCTTGAAAGTGAACCCAAGAAAGTGGTGTAAAAACAAAAACAAGAAGCATTTCATTTCCTCTGTTACCAAGCAGAGAGACCAGAAGAGTGAGAGAGAGTTCTGGAAACCTACTGCTGCTAAGCTCTGGAATAATACTTCCACAGTGAACAGAAGCAACAAATGAATGGGAAGGACCCCCAAAATATAACCACCCACATGCTTTTTAAACACTAATTCAGGTTAAGGCTTAAAGATATCTTCCTGGCAACATCAAAAATAGGGAGGTCACTGAACATAATGAGTTTGCTTGAAACAAAAGAACTGATGCCTTTCTGTGTATCACAGTGACCACCCACCAGACTCAAGCAGAAATCTGAGTCTACACCCAAACCACTCAATTCGTTAGTCTAGAAAAACTTAAAATTCACCAAGACACTCATGATGCTGTTTAGCAGTCAAATTCTGGCAGTCAGTTCAAAAGCTCAGTGAAAAGAGCCTAATGCAGAGTCCTTACAAAACATGCTAAAATAAAAAAATGGAGCCATGTATAAGAAATTAAGTGCAGTAAATTCTGCTATAATGCTGCTTGAAAACACGAATGTGTTCCAACATGGTCAGTATGTGAAACAACAGCTTGAGCGTAGCAAGAATTCCATTTACTTATGTGTGATTTTTAACTGCAAGAAACCCTACATGATTTTGGAAAACCACACACTGCTAAACGAAGGTACATGGGATTACACATAACACGTGCACACATCTGAACACCTACTGGCTACCATAATTCATTGTCTGTATTATGAATCACACTCTGCCACAACTGCTATTACAATTTTCCCTCAGATTTCAGATGGCTCTCCTTCCATTGCCTCCGAGTAAGTCACTTACTGCAACCTGTCTGATGCCCACTTCCACAACTATATGGCAGGTCTCTTTTAAGGTAAAATGTCAAGTCCAGTATAGTATTATGTATGCATTTCTTAACTATTTAACGTGTGAAACCAAGCTGTTGATTTTATTAGGTTCTGATCCTTTTGAGAGTCTTCTGATCCTTTTGAGAGTCACTGACAAAGTTTCTGAGTGTTGTGCCTCCATCTTCCCATAAGCCCTGTGGTTTTCACTGCATAATTTTGCATAGAAGGGTGAATTTCAGAAATGCACATATGGTGTTATAGTAGAGTGGAGTGTAATAAAAATACCATATTTGACCAAATAAAAAGCATCTTCTCTTCTCCCAATGAAAAGCTTTTTAAAAAATTTTGTCAACTAGGATTTATAAATCTTGGGGATGATGAGACTAAAAGATCTAATTCTAATATTACATTTATTCACTTGGTTTCATACTTATATTTAAGAGTATTTGTATAAGACAGTAAAATACCTTGAGAAATTCCTTTTTTAGCACATTATCTTGGTCATTTAGCACAGTTCTTCAGAGCACAACATCCTTGCTTTAATTTTTTTTCATGAAGCAATTCTGGGATCTAAAAATTGGCCTGGGAAACTTTATCCAAATCACAAGAACCCGTTTACTATTCAAGATCTTTACTACATAATCAGTGTTGTGGCTGAATGTGTCTCCCCCAAAATCCAGATGTTAAAAACTTAATTCCTAGGACCCTAGAATGTGATCACATTTGGAGACAGAGCCTTTAAAGAGGTGAAGGGTTTAAAACAAGTCCTTTAGGGTGGGCACTAACTCAATCTGACTGGTAGCCCTGTAAGAGTAAATTAAAAAAACACAGACACCAGGGATGCTCAAGCACAGATGTCCTCATGTGAGGACACAGCGACAAGGTGGTCCATCTGCAAGCCAAGGACAGAGGCATCCAAAGAAACCCAACCTGCTGACTTCCTGCTCTTCAACTTCCAGCCTCCAAAACTTTGAGAAAATGAATTTGTTGTTTAAGCCTTCCAGTCTCTAATAATTTGTTATGGAAGCCCTAGCAAACTGCTATAATAAAGATATATCTTTATCGTTTTCATTTTCCCATTTTTTTTTTTTTTGTTAAGAAATGTCTTTATGGGGATCCCTGGGTGGCTCAGCGGTTTAGTGCCTGCCTTTGGCCCAGGGCGCAATCCTGGAGTCCCAGGATCGAGTCCCACGTCAGGCTCCCGGCATGGAGCCTGTTTCTTCCTCTGCCTGTGTCTCTGCCCCTCTCTCTCTCTCTCTCTCTCTCTCTCTCTCTCATAAATAAATAAATAAATAAATAAATAAATAAATAAATAAATAAATAAATAATCTTAAAAAAAAAAAAAGAAATGTCTTTATATCCAGAAACCGCATAGGATGTAAGTTCATTTTAGGGAAAAATAGCACCACTCGCTCAAGAATGAGAACATCTGAAACCACACAGAGCTTTCATCTATACATTCCTTTGCTATCATATTCTCTCCCTCACCTCTACCCTGAAGGCAAAGATTACTAATTCATTCTTCATACCATTTGGATACTACCATGTTTTACTTGTATATTGCAAATACCTTCTTCTACTCTGAATCTACCTTTTCACTTTCTTTATGGCATATTTTGATAACTCCAAGTGCTTCAATTTAATGTAAACCAATTTATCAATCTTTTCCTTCAATGCTTTAGGGGCAGCCTGGGTGGCTCAGCGGTTTAGCGCCACCTTCAGCCTAGGGCGTGATCCTGGAGATCCAGGATGAGTCCCATGTCAAGTTCCCTGCATGGAGCCTGCTTCTCCCTCTGCCTGTGTCTCCGCCTTTCTCTCTCTCTCTCTCTCATGAATAAATAAATAAAATCTTAAAAAAAAAAAAGAAGCCTGAGGTAATAATGATTTATTCATCTATTATCATTCAAAGCCTTTAATTTTTTTTTTAATTTTTTTTTAATTTTTTTTTTATTTATGATAGTCACAGAGAGAGAGAGAGAGAGGCAGAGACACAGGCAGAGGGAGAAGCAGGCTCCATGCACCGGGAGCCCGATGTGGGATTCGATCCCGGGTCTCCAGGATCGCGCCCTGGGCCATTCAAAGTCTTTAAAAGCTTTATAGTTTTGCCTTTCATATTTAGGTCACTAATCCACCTGAAATTGATGTTTATTCTTTTTGTACACTGAAACATAGGGGTCTGAATTTGTTTATCCTTATACCAGTGACTTACACTTTAGTTACTATGTCTTTCTACTAAATCTCCATACCTAATGAACCATGTCACCCCTCTTGTTCTTTTTCAAGAATGTCTCATTCTAGATAATCTGTATTTCCATCAGAATTTTAAAATTAGTTTTTCAAATTATAATACATAATCAAGACTCTCTCTCTCTCTCTCTCTCCATTCAGCTTCATATCTTCCCCCCAGACATCTTGTACTTTTTTGACCATATTTAATTCAGGAACTTCCTGTTTCTTGATTCTATTTAAAAAGTTTTGCTATTGGGGATCCCTGGGTGGCACAGCGGTTCGGCGCCTGCCTTTGGCCCAGGGAGCGATCCTGGAGACCCGGGATCGAATCCCACGTCGGGCTCCCGGTGGATGGAGCCTGCTTCTCCCTCTGCCTATGTCTCTGCCTCTCTCTCTTTCTCTCTCTGTGACTATCATAAAAAAAAAAAAAAAATTTAAAAAAAAAGTTTTGCTATTAATTTGTCTAAAGGGTTGTCTGAATACATGATTTTAATTCTAATCTGTTAATGTGATAAAAATACTGATTTTGTAATAGAAAAACTACCTTCCATTTCTAAGATACACTCAATCTGATCAAGCTGGTTATGTATATATAATATATATATTCAGTTTGCTACTATTTTGTGTAGAAGTTGTTTATGTTCATAATCAGTCTAGGCTATAATTTGCTTTTATCTTTGATAAAATGTATTCAACATATACTACACATATGTACATATATGGGGAGAGTTCCCTCTTTTTCTTTTAAAAGAGTTTTATAAGACTAGATTTCTTGTTTCCTTTCATATTTGATTAGACTAGACCTTACTGGTAAATCTGTGAATATTCTTTGCAAAAGTTTTAACTACTCACTTAGGGTGATAGAACTCCTGTTTCCAATTTCTTCCTGAAGCAGTTTTCTTCTTGGAGCTATACTATGCTTATGATCAGGAAACTCAGTACTGTTAAAGATATCAACTATCCAAACTGATTATAAAATTAATACAATCCCAATAAAAATCCCCAACCAGGAGAGCGCATAGTATACTGGTGGCAGAGGGTTTTTTGGTTTTGGTTTTTTTTTACTTTTACTTTGTTTCAATTTGTACAAATTACTAAGT